CCGCCGACGCCCTGTTTGTGATGGTTATCGGCGGCGGATTTGATCAGAAGATCTACGGTTACGGCAATCGTGAAGTCGATAATGAGATGTCGTTCACAGAAATTGTGGACATATTCTCCGCTAATAATCCTAAGAGTGATGCGTCTCTTCGGATGAAACCGAAAATATTTGTTTTCAATACTTTCTCTATTCGTTTGTATTTATATTGTTTATATTTATTGGAGAGAGAGAAATCAATCTTAATAACATTGTTAAATTTAATTTACTAATAAATATATGAATAAATAAATACATGTATTCACTTTTAAAAACTTATCAACCAACTGAGAATATCCGAATGAATCTGAATTCAAATAATAATAGAAGCTATGTCATTTATTCACATTCTAAATCTATGTACTATATTATGCAGACCCTTAAGTTATTGAGTTTTTGTGTAACACGTACATTACAGTCATCACACGTGTACCTCACGTACATCACTCCACAACATTCCTTAGAGTCATACTCTACTCAACATATTCTCGCCCTTAGCTCCATAATAGCTACTGAGATGCCTTCCCTATGCCATACGATTAGTCTATTCTAAGCTCTCATACAAAGCACATCTCATGTAATCTTTACCATTGATTTAGTTATTATTAATAAAGTGTCGTTTGTTATCATACACTGAGCTATTCATTGTGTCCGCATTCATGGATCAGCTCAATGTAACTACATAAAGAAAGGACTAATTGTATGACATCTCCAGACACTAACTCAACAAATGATACCGACTTTGGAAACGAAGTTTTAAGTGATTTGTTAGAAAAGTCCGTAAATATTAATGACAACAGTGTTAGTGATCAGAGTATGGGAATTGAAAGTGTGATCACAATTAATACAAATGTTAAAAACAAGAGATTATTATCGGATATAATAAGTAGATCTCAACGTATTTACTCATTAGTCCCTATGTATAAGGAGTTAACCGATTATAACGGTATTAATGAATTGGAGAGAAATAGGATCAGGGAAATAATGAGCGCTTCCAATGTGTGTAACTATCAATTGTCACAAAAACTACATTTAATAAACACCCGGGAAGAATTTTGCAAAATGTCACTAATTCTACAAATATCAATGAGTCTTATTAAAGATATGATTAGTTTCACTAAAAATTAGAGTGTATTTAAAACTATTTGTACCGAGGATCAAATATCATTATTCAAATATGGTTACAACGAATTGGCGATTGTGATATTATTTAAATATTTTGACAAACAAAACGAGAAAATATTAATGCCATTGGTTAGTGGCATAAATTATGTAACTTAAATATTTTAAATATTTTTATAAAACTCTATTGATATTTACCAGGATAATGGTGAGACTGGTCTCATTTGTGAAGATGTTTGGGATTATGGTGAATGTGATTCATGAACTGGTGCTTATACTGGGATTAGCGCAATAGTTGACAAGGTTATATCAAATATAAACTTTGATGATACAATACTCATTTCACTGGTAAGAATTTATTCATATTATACATGTATTACAGTATACATGTAATATATAAACAATATATATAATTGGTAGTATAATTACTATGTTAGTTAATTTTTAAAATTATTTATAATCACTTAAAGTTTACATTTATTAATTTTAATTACAGAGACATCTTGATTGTCATCTGAACGGCAAATGCATAATATCTACAAAAACATGAAAGTGTTGCCAAAAGTGTAGACTTCATAATTGTTTGGCTGTCGGCATGAAATTAGTATAAAATTTTATTTTGTCAACAATTTATGTAACATTTGTTTGAATATCTGTTTTTTCTGTGAACAGGGATTCATACGAAGTGATGAGGAAAATAATAGGAGACGACAAGTGGGCGAAGAGAAACGCAAACGACTGACACAAATGACTACAGAATCAGATTCTGTGGATATTCTGTCGAAAAGCGATTCTTCGCAAGAATTCAATGATAATACTGACGATGAAATCGAGGGTTTAATTTACATTTCACTTAATATTAGTGATGAGGAACTCAACGAAAAAATTATGGAAATTGAAAGTATCGTCGAAAATGATATATACGGGTCGATCCCATTGAACTGCTGGTGTGCTCGGAGTCGAGAGTCGACCGAATCGGACCGATATTGAGATTCGTCTCATCGGTGAGACTATCGTCCGAATAGTCGTCGTCTGTATATTCACTATACCTGTCGGGTATATACCGAGTGAGAGGTATTGGCGCTCCTTCTTTGGGCATCAAATCCCTTCGGCGAATATCCCGCGAATCGGGATAACTCTGTGATGACCTGTAAGAGCCAGAAATCCCCATAAGGTGTGAGTCTGGGAACTGACTGCCAGTTCCGGACCCGCGACCACATATAGAGCTAAATGGTTGACATCCGCGCTCTGGTTGAGGGCCTGGAGTTACGCCATAAGTCTGTGATCTTCTAATAGGCACAGCCGCTTTCCTAACACCAGATACCTGTCCACTCCAACCACCATCAGATGTGGGCCCACCCCTTGCAGAAGATGAGGGAACACTCCAACCATCAGAGTCGGGGCGTCGGTCCAAGTGATGGACGACTGGATGGGTGTCCCGATAGTGGCGCTGGTGCTCTAAATGGTGTTTCTCATACTCCTCATAGGTTTTAGCGACGTTCTCGTCCGCCGGTCTTCGGTATAACCATTCAGTGTTCGGATCAGGTTTTGGTCTTTTCTGGCGTTGGGTGCGACCACTGGACGCTCTAATTGATGGGACCGGGAATTGAGACCTAATGCCCGGACTATTACTCATTTGCTCAAACCTCTCCAGGTTTCCCCTTCTGGTCTCCTCGGCAGAGCCACCAGCCTGAGGCCCACCTACCTGTCCACCACTACCGGTCTGGGGTGTGTAATGCATGGGTGTATAGACTCCACGTCCACTTCTGGCCCATTCCTCCCTCTGCCGACGGGGCCTTTGGTTTTCGTTCGGATTTGACATATCTGTGTGTTTTGGGTCTCAAGATTGGATCAAATGATATGATGGTTGAGCTGAAGATCTGAACTCAGATTTGCTTTACTTTTGACAAACTTTTTACTTTTTATAATTTGTAATTTATTTTAATTATTGTTATTTAATTTTGAATGTATTGATATGTAGACCTATACTAATAAATACATTACTGATTACAAGTACTTATTACTGATGGAAGCGTCGGAATAAGAAGCGAAAGTCCAATGATATGGCCGTTCAGTGACCGGCCGGTCATGTCTTCGTGAAGGCCTTCCATCTCATCGATGGTGTCATTCGTGTCAAGACGTGAGGTCCAGACGAACAGCCGTTCA